AACCTAACTGATTGGACCTTGAACAACAGATACAAGTGCCATGTTGCCATAATTGGATGAGAAAGACACAGAGCCATTTGATAATTGTTAGATTTGAATTTAATGAAATAAAATATATGTAAGATAAGTTATCTTATTTATAATTGTACATTATCTAAGGCAGAATAATCAACCAAGCAAATTGTGTATTAGACATTCTAACAGATTTATAGGTTTTAGATGAAAATAATATATTTGAAGCCTCCTTTGGAGGGAAAGAAAAATCAAATCAAAGTGTGGTGCCCTGAGTCTTTGTTGTCTTAGTGTGTTTGAGCCAGCGGGCCAAGTCTAATGAGAAGATGGTAAAGCACAACTAAATTCTGTATTTCAGACTCTGTACATATATTTAGCTATAAATCTTAGCTACTTTTTATGTTTCTAAAGCAAATGTAGTTTGATAATATCCAACTTAGTTCAGGGCAGAAAATCTAAGCTGCAGTTACACTGTTCATGCACCAGGGGAGCGCAAGGGAGCACACTCTTAACCCCGCCCACAGGCCCTCCCCCTGCACCCTGGCCCTCCCACATCCTGCCCCCTTCCCCCCTCCTCACTGCCCCACCCTGCCATCTGGTCCTTTTCACACAATCACACACACACAGTCAGGAATTTTTTCTCCTCATTTCCTTTCATAGTGAAAAACAGGATGAAGGGGCTCTTTCAGACTCGAGGTTACCGTGGAAACCCCCTTTATTCTTCTTCTGTCAAACTTGCTTACATTGTAACACACACGCACACACATGCACACACAGTTATATAGAGAGTGACAGAATGTTGGACCTTTTAAAGTTTAAAGGGACCAAGGCTACAGCTGTCCTTCTGTCTGCCATAGTTTGGGCCTTCTGTTTACTTTACACAAAGAACTTTATGCCCCCCTCCCTTTCTTCTTTCTCGTCTCATTCCCCTTTTTATACTAATACTTTAGCATTCTGAAAGTAAACTTTCTAAAAAAAACTAAATGTTGGATGCGCCTCATTTAGTTTCCCTGAAATATATTTAGTCTGTTGATGTTAAAAGTTGGCAAAAGGTTTTTTTGTGTCTCTGTGTGGTTGTTTCTCTTGAGCAACCTCAGCATTTTGGGGTTTTTTTTCCACAGAACTTCTCAGTCAAGGGATATTAATGTTGAAACTATAAACCCTCTCCCCCATTCCAGTTTAGATAATCTCCAGCCCTGGAATGCTGAGTGGGAAAAAGTTGGTTTTGAAGTTATATAAAGTTAATGTTGTGTTTTTTTCCTATCTTGCCACCAGAGGGCCCAAAACATTTTTGGCCAACAGATATACAACAGAGAACATCATCTGAAAGCTTTTAGTGGGTTAAAAATAAACTGCAGCATGCCACAAGCAGGGAGTGGTGATGAGAGGATGAATAGTCCACATGAAACGAATAGAGAAGAGATAGAAAAGAGAGGAGAGGCTATGCTTTCTGGGAGAGGATTGAAACTATTTGAGCTGAGGCTATAGTTCAGAGCAGTCAGGGATGAAAGTCGACTAAATATGTTTTCCTCTCTTTGTGTTCCTGACTTGTTCTTTTTTTCTTTCTTTCCATCTGTCTTTTTCCAAATGTGTTTTTTTTTTTCTTTCTTTCTCCAAGCCTGGCTACCACCTCCACCGACATTTTCTCCTTTTAAGGAGTGAGGGAAGGAGAGAGGCAGGGAATGAGGGGGTGGTGGGTGAAGGACACACTCAGGTCTGCTGACTGATAAACAGACTCCTCTTTGTGCAGATGGAGAGACACACACACATGCATGCACACACATAGTTACATATTGACAGAGACCTCTGCATGACTTGGCTCATCATGATTCTGTGCTCTCCTCCGTCGCCTCCTCTCCCCCTCTATCTATCTGCTTTTTTCCCTCTCTCTTTCCACCTAATTAAAACCAGAAGTCAGAAATGGAAGAATTTTGTTTTTCTTTCACCACACACACATGTGGTCTATGTACACACACACACACACACACACACACACACACACACACACAAAGATACCCCCCCCCCCCCCCTTATTTCTCATCTCTCAGTGCCAAGCAGCTGTTGGGGAGACGAGGGGGAGGTGTTCCAGGAAAAGAGAAGCGTGTGTGTGTTAGTAGGGATGGTAGTGATTTGCTTCCACAAAAGGGTCCTTTTTCTGTATGACTGTATAACAAAGAGGCAGCTGGGACAATAAAACGTGGATGTTAAAATGTCAGCACTCCACAAGTGTGTTTGTATGTGCTTTTGTATGTTTTTGCATGTGTCTACTCACATGTGTGTTCTGCCTCGGTCATCTCCTCTCCTCCCCCTACAATGACGAAGTGTAACATGGCACAGTGCCCCATAGTCACCGCTAGGGGTGCCATCGGCTCATAAATGAAATGAGCCGGCTCCGTGTGTGGATACCACAGAGCAGCCATTTTACAATCTGCACACCAGACCCCATTTTATGAATCAGCCATGATGTCAACATAGCTAAGCCTGATTCCATTGGCCAGAGAACAGCTGGAACTGAAGCTATTTTAGCAGGGATGCGCGCCCACACACACACACACACACACACACACACACACACACACACACACACACACACACACACACACACACACACACACACACACAGGCTCACACTGACCGAGTGACATGATGCCTTCACTAGTCTAGTCCCAGACAAACTGGATTGTCTCTGCTTGAGATTATATACCATCCAGATAAGACGTTCATCTCTGCTTTAACATTTGTACTTCAGTGTCTTTGTACAAGTCTGCATGTGCATATTTGTACACGTGCACAGGTTCAAGTTTTTACTGATATTAGTAGAATTACTCGTAGATCTCTTTATTTCTCTCACTTTTATCTTCAGAGGTATTATTTCCCTCATTCTACGTGCCACTGTCTTGAAGAAGTGGATTATTTTAGGTCGTTATCAGTCTCCCTGTTTGTGTCTCTGTCCTAAAGATTCCTCACTTCCTTCGAGTTTCTTCCTAAACTTTGAGCTGTGTTTATGTGTTTGTCCGAAGATATTTATGTTGTTTCCTCTCAGATGTCCTGATGGATTTTCCTACCCTGTGTGTGTGTGTGTGTGTGTGTGTGATGGTTGACTTCCTACTGTGGTTTCCTGCTCTCAGCAGGGACTATGGCTGCAGTGTCAGTCACACAATAGTGTTATTGATTCATGATAGTGATATACACAGCCGATTATATTGATATAGCACAAAATACATGCAAACAGAGAGAAGTACAGAGTTCAAATGGATCACATTGCCCTAAACTGTGAGCCAAACTTAGTCGCATGTGATGGTTGATTCTGAGAGAGGAGTTTCATAGAGCTAAAGCTGATGCTGAGTGAAACAATGGGACTTATTGAGGCCACAGTCCACTGACTGACTGTTCTGTGTATGAGTGTGTTCTGAATGAATGGCTAAATGGAGAGATGAGGAGCTCATTAAGATGCCTGGACTCGTTAACAGACTGTCCAACTGATTGGCCTCTCACATAGAGACAAAGCATTGTTTGACTAGTTGTATGGAAAGTTGGACAGCTAGGTGAATGAGTTGTTACGCTGTAGTGGCTATATCTCTGTCTCTTTTCACCAGTCTAACACGCTGCTGTTGAATGTGGACAGATTGTGGAAAAAATATGGTTTAATGAGGAAGTGAAGAAAAATGGCCACATATGCAGTAGAGAGCTCAGCATTCCTAAGGTAAACCTAAATTACACCTACAAACGTAAATACATAGTAGTAACACTGGTAATTAGGCAGCCTTAAGTAGGACTGTCATAACAACATCTAGTCGTTATTTGACAGTGGTTACAGTAGTTTCAGTCCAGATAGTCTGTTGTACACTTCATTTTAGCCTCTGATGTCATTACATGAGGTCAGGCAGTGGAAACAGGTGGGCTGCTCTGCACACAGGGGCTGATTTTGATTTGTATTTTTTGTCTGTGTGTTTCAGAGGCAGACTGCATGCTCTTATTGTACTTGCTGTACCAGCACTCTTGCTGGCTGTTTTCCCGACAGTGATTCTTGTTTCCTGTTCCTGCCTGGTCTTTACAAAGATAAGGCAGTGACAAGGTCGGATAGAGACATAGACAAAACCTACAGAGAGACTGGAGGAAAGAGTAGGTGGTATAGATGCTCCTGTCTCCTGTTTTTTGTGTGTGTATATATATATATATAATATAATATAAAAATTATCAGTTTTATCAATGACATTTTCTCGTTGATCAACTATAGATTCCATAACTAATCATGACATACTGTATTTGTCATGCACTTTCAGATGAATGTGAAATTCAGTGTGAGTGGTTAGATAATGGCAGTAAGCAGTCGTGACATCTAGTTTTCCTTAGATGACCTTAGATCTCATGTGTACAGTTGGCTGTTATGTGGTCAAACCCATGTGCTTGTTCATCTTTCACTCCTCATTCTCTGCCAGTGCACATTCACCCCTACACGCTGACACATCCTTACAGTCACCATCCTGACCTTGTCAGAAAACGTTAATGTGAAGTGTTTGTCAAGTGTGTGTGTGTGCGATAGACTGTACTGTATATGCATGTGTCTAAGCTGATTGCAAACTTAAAATGCCTTACAGCTAGCAAATGTCCAACCATATTTACCAGGCCCACACACAGCAGGGGGACATCTTTCCCCAGTCTTGCAGCCATTTCATAGTAGTTCCATCTTACCCAAGGCCACTGATACAATAATCCTAACACCTCCATGACACCATACAGTTGGGGAGTGGGTGAAAAAAGTAAAGGCTGTGCCAAGTCTGTCAGTTTTTATAGCCATCACACAGGCCTCTATCCTTTCCTCTATCCACTTCTCTAAATTACTGAACCTACTGATTTTACTACTGTCCTTCTTTGCAACACTATTTCTATGCATATCCATTCATCTTACATTAAGAAAGTTACCAAGAAATGTAATTTCTAACAAAGTCTTCTTTTTCATCTGTCCATTTCTCTATCCACCTCTCCAGCCAAAATGGAGCAGGATGGCGGAGACGAAAAGAAACAGACGCAGAAGAAGAAGGTGAAGGAGCTGAAGATTCTCGACTCTAAGTCTTCACAGAACCTTTGTAAGTCCACAGATGCCCATCTGTTTGTAAGACTAACATTCCTCTTTAAATGCATTTAGTGAACACCACTATTGAAATGCCAACTATAAAGTGTGTTCAACTGAATCCTTATTAGATTTTAGATCGTAGTAATGAAAAGTGCTGGTAATTGTGTTTGCTCATACAGCCATTTTTCTGGGATCGTTCCGTATCCCATATGAAGAGATCAAGAACGCTATCCTGGAGGTTAATGAGAAGATCCTCACAGAGTCCTTGGCTCAGGTACATAGTTCAGATCTTCCTCAGTGTTGGTATATAAGGTTCTGTGTATGCATCCAGTCATGTTTGTATGTCAATATGGGTTCTTTCAGTTTAATGTGTATGTAGCTGTGTGTAGAATCATGAGTCAAGTTAATGAATGGGATAAAAGTGTACTGAGCTATATTCTTGTGACAGAAAGCCTCTGCCTTGTTGATGTGTTCGTCAGCAGGACATTTTTTATTTTATGTAACCTTTATTTATTGAGTGTCTCTTCAGATCTCTTTTACAAGAGAGACCTAGCCAAAATGGTAACTTAAGATGGGTATTGCGTAGTTACGTAAGAACACATAAACTTCTGGATACTTCACACAGCTCATTAGCTGAACCTGCACACGGATCATCCTTTACAGTGGAATAACCCACAGAAAAAAGTTTCTCTTAAGGGTCAATCAATCTGTCTTTGCTAAAGGAGTAGTTTGGGACACATGTATGTGGCACAAACAAAGTGTCTCCAGATCCTGTTTGTCATGTATGTTTTCCTCTTTTTGCCACAAAGAACCTGATCAAACAACTGCCAGCGCCGGAGCAGCTGAGTGTCCTGGGAGAGATGAAGGATGAATATGATGACTTGGCTGAGTCCGAACAGTTCGGAGTAGTGGTGAGGAAACGTACATACAGAAATGAAGAAGCACATGAATTAGACCATGTTGTTTTTGAAAAATCTGTTGAATTTGTAGCTGACTTGTACATGACCACAAACATTGCAGGGAAATCTGTGAAAATGGCAAATGAGGCATATGGGACATGTTGAAATACTGAGTCATACCGTTGTCACTATGTTAGACACAGAAAATCCTCACCCTGTTACACACAGACTACTTTGTTCAGCTGTGGAATATGTGAGCTTAAACACAATTAAGCACACACACACACACACACACACAATCCATGTGGCAACAAACATATGAATAGGTCTGAACACCCCCCCCCCCCAGATGTCCAGTGTAAAGCGGCTGACGCCACGGCTTCAGGCCATCCTGTTCAAGCTGCAGTTTGAGGAGCACCTAAACAACATCAAGCCAGACGTGGTGTCTGTGACGGCAGCCTGTGAGGAACTCAGGAAAAGCGAGACATTCTCAAAGCTGCTTGAGATCATCCTCCTTGTTGGGAACTACATGAATGCTGGCTCCCGTAATGGAAAAGCATATGGCTTCTCCATATCATACCTCTGCAAGGTAAAATGAAGTGTAGATATAGTACACAAACACACGCTGAAAACTAAATGAATGCACCAGCTTCTTTGGCTTCACTTCAGTTATTTTCAACACTGAATTATATCTGAACCAGAGTCAATTTCTGGGCCATATTATTTAGTTTTATACAGTTGAGTGACGAGAGGGGTCTACATAAAACATATATAAGTTGAAACATTAGCAACAACATTAGCTTTAGGTATTTAATTTATATAACACAGACATGAACATGTACAAATGGCCCAGTGATTCTGTCATGGGTACAGTGATGCTACGCCAAATTAGTGTAACAACAGTGATGTCTGTATTCATTTTATTGTATTTTTATCAGATTTGTAATGTGGAAATATGGATGCACAGTCAGAAGTGCATAAACATCCATTGACACATCTGTAAACAGAAAAGTGTGAAACACTGACAGCCCATGCAGACATGAAATAACTTTCCATTGATTGCCTTTTCAGTGTGCCCTTTTTTAAATCAATCCTTCTTCCAATCAGCTGCGTGACACCAAATCAGCTGATCTGAAGCAGACCCTGCTCCATTTCCTCGCTGATGTGTGCCAAGAGCAGTATCCGAAGTCATGAGCTTTCCAGACGAGCTCATCCATGTGGAAAAGGCCAGCAGAGGTACATGGGACACCTAACTGATCTCCATACTTCTCCAGCCCTACATAGTATCATCCATTACAATCCCTCGTTACACATTACATTCATCTTATTGATGCAGTGTGCTATCATATATAGGTGTACCAATGTAGCTGCTCTGCATCATTAATGTTTCCCCTCTGTCTCCTCCAGTGTCTGCAGAGACAGTTCAGAAGAACCTTGAGCAGATGGGCCGTCAGATCAAGAACCTGGAAAAAGATCTGGAAACCTTCCCCCCTCCCAAAGTGACAAGGACCTTTTTGTGGAGAAGATGTCCATATCCTCTTTATTCAGTTACATATTTGAAATATTGATTGCTTTGCCAGAATATTAAAACCATAAACCTTGTCATCCTGAATTATCATTTCTATATATTGTTAAAATACAGAGGCTGTGGTCCGATGTTCCTTAACATTGCGTCTCCACAGTTTTGTGAGTCTCGCCCAAGAGCAGTATGAGAAGCTGGATCTGCTGCATAAGAATATGGAGAAGCAATATAACGACCTGGGAGACTACTTTGTCTTTGACCCGAGAAAGATCTCCATAGAGGAATTCTTTGGCGACATTAACACCTTTAAAAACATGTTCCAGGTGTGTTTATGAGCATGTGAATTAACTAACTGAAGTCTGAACTGTGAAGGGCACAAGTGTGGTTTTCTTAACTAAAACCCTCATATCAAATAGTTTCACATACAAAGACATACGACAGACACACAAGTGGAGTTGAAAAAAATTAAGATGAAAGACAATTGTCAAACTAGAAAGACAAATATTGCTGTACACCTGTGTGTATTGACATAATAATGAATGAGAGTGACTTCATTATATTGTCAGTTTATATATCAACTGTAAATGTGGCGTTTGGGAGGGCAGGAGGTAACTTGTTTTACCAGTTATTGTAGATAACCATTATATCCATCAGATCCGTCATACATCTGTCTGTTTGAATTTTGTTCTAAGGATCACTTTGTTTTCACGCTAGGTTATCCACACCATCACACTAAAACGTAATTAGCATACATGCACTGTCTGATATTTTCTCTTTTCTCTTTCTCCCCCCCATCAGCAAGCAGTGAAGGAGAATCAGAAGAGGAAAGAGGCTGAAGAGAAGATCAAGAAGGCCAAACTGGCCAGGGAAAAGGCGGAGAAGGAGAAGGAGGAGAAACTCAAGAACCAGCTGCTTGACATCAACGCAGGTCACAATTGCTGGATCATATATGTTTACCTGCGTGTGACTGAAAGAGAAACAGTCCACCACTCTGTCTGTGTTTCCCTTAGATTCCAGTTGGGGGCAGTCAGAGTCCACGCTTCTGAGGAGTGTGTGTGTGTGTGTGTGTGTGTGTGTGTAGAAGGACCCATCAGTATTTATTGCCCGGAGTTAATCTAATGTAGATGACATGTGTTTTGAAGTAAGCAAGTAATGTGAGGACAAGAAGGATGTACACAATGAACCGCTTGACCTCTTTTCACTTCTCTAGTGAACAGGGGATTTACCTCCACAATAGAGAGCTGATTGAACGCCTAAATCTCTTTAGCACCAAAAACATGTTTCCACTTTTCTGTGAGATGCTGTTATGTGTCACACACACACACAAATTCTCACTCTCTAATCTTCGTATACACACTGTCAAATCCTGACTTGCAGATGCACATTTATGCACAGGCACTTTTTCCCCTTTCTGTCAGACTGTGACCTAGTTTCAGTACATTCCTCCTCTCTCTGGCTCCAGTCGAGTTCTCCTGGGACTCTACAGTTCCACAGTCAAAATCTGCTACAGCCTCAGTGCAGTCTGTGTATATGTGTATGTATGTGTGTTACAACATCACTTCTTGAGAATGTTTGTTTTGCTTTACCTACGGGTTGGAGAACTCTGGTCAAGTGTTTCTGCGCTGTGTGTGTGTGTGTGTGTGTGTGTGTGTAAGCCTAAGAATGTTTATCTATGTGTCTGTTTTGTGAACCTCTTTTACAAAAAGTCTTTCTTGCCTTTCTCCTAGTGCTGCACATTCCAGCTGGCTTCTCCTCTGCTCTCTTTCTTGCTTTTGTTTCATCACTCCCTCTTCTTTTTTCCCCTTACCTCCGCCTGTGTCTGCCATTCATTTAAAGGGCATTATAACCCACAGAAAGCACTGAGGCTCTACTTGCAATATTTTGTCTCTGTGTTGAAAGCAGACATTTTGTGATAGAAAGTAAGGTTGTCAAATTTCATGTTCAGCCTCTAGAGGCATGCGCGAAAGGAACATAATAGTGCTTCAAAGATGAGTGTGTGTATGTGCATTAGTGGGCTAGAGATCATTTACATACAGGTGGCATATTTGACTGCCTCTGTGGCTTGGAGTCATTCAAAACTCCTCAATTTGAATTCAGCCACAGACAAATCTGGCATAGACACACCTGGCCTTTGTTCTGTGTTTGTTTATAACCCTCATACTCTATGGCTATTACACAAAGGTTCTTTTCAGCAGCTACACTTTCACACACTCACATTTGCTTTGTTTCGTTTTTCTCTACTACTCTCCCACCCATGCACTCACATACCCTTACTATCTTTGAGTGTTCCACTTTCTCACTTTCTGTCTCTCTGTAAACATGATATCCCAGTTATTGGTTAAACCCCGGAAGGTCAGTGTGTGTTTGCCATTTGTGGCCTTGTCATTCCTATGTGAGTCAGACACAGACGCTCACTCAGTGGAGCCTCACTTTGTTCATGTGCTAAGCATGTGATGGTAACTATTATGAATAATAAGAGTCTTCTGAGACTCTTATTAGATTATTACTTATGTCATCTTTTAATAATGTAATCATTAAGTGCTTTTAATTTGGCTCTATTTGGCTCTTATGAAACATGGAAGTTCAGGATTCAGGGCACCAGACTGCCAAAGTACCTGGATGCCACATTCACTATATGTGCTTTAAGTAGAAGATCTTCTAATTTTCTCCGATAAATACTGTCTACCACTGTGAGGAAAAATCTATCCCTGGTTGTCATACACTCATCTTTGGAAATATGCCAGACAACTTGGCAACTGACTTATTCTTATTTCTACAGCTAGGTGTCAGTACTGTCTGTAAAATATTGTATGAGGCTGTGTGCTGTTTTGTATGTGGCAAAGGGTGTGTGCATGTGTGATTTACACACCCACACTGATGCTGGTATGGGAACTGCCACTAGGAGTGCTCGTGCTCTACACAGCGAGTAAGTGAGAGAGTAGCATGGGGGAGGGGAAGGAAATGCAGAGAGTAGGGCAGCAGATGTTGTCTTGGGGATTAGACTGTGTTGATGTCTCTTAGAAAAGGGGGAATGAGGAGAGAGCAGAAAAGCACAGGGTAAGCTGGTGGATGAGATAGGATAAGCCTGGGTAGCCTGATGTCTCTCCCCAGGCTGCCGTGAAAGAGGGGCACAATCATGGCACATTAGGAAAACTCTGTCCAACCCACTTGAACACTGTCTTTCTATCTCATACTACTAACTAGTTTTCTGTTTATATGTCTGTGTTTATTGTTACTTCTGGTTTTTTTCCATTCATCTCCCCACGTCCTATTGTGTGAACATCCTTTAGGGGTACTAATGCTCCACACATGATCCTGTCCTCCCTCTGTGTGTGTCAGATAAATGTGTCTGTGTGTGTGTGCATTCAATATAGATCAGATCCAAAAAGGTGTGTTTAAGAGCTCATGATCTAATGCTGTTACACTAATTAATCCGTCTTATGTTCTTACTTGCTTCAGGCAGTACCTTGCTGTGTGTCATGCGCTGTTGTGTGTGTACAGAGTGTTTGTGCTTGTGCTGTTCCCAATCCATACGGTTGTTGTGTCTGACTACGCCACCACCACTTTTTGAGGCCATTTCAATATTGATTGTCAATAATAACCCCATTAACCAGATATCTGTTCCACAGAAAGTCATGTGGATTAACAAGAGCACATGATTATCAACAAGGGATTGAACCCAACAAGTGTGTTTCCCCCAATATTATCCCTATTACTAATCATTAAGAAACCAAACATTGTAAAGCTTCACTTTGATAAAGAAGACTCATATATGGCTTTATCTAATAGCCTTACCCTAGGCCACACTTGCAAAGAAATACTAGAGTTCAATGTATTCTATACAGTAACGTCCCTCATTCATTCTAGCTTAGTTCAGAGTTCACTCGGTCAACAGTAAGCCTGTTTCATACAAAACCTGGTCATTGTTTGGCCTCTTGATTGCCTCCAGTACATATTCACAAATAGGTTTGTGTCTGTGTGCTTCCGCCAGCGGTTTAAGTCAACCACGTGATTTAGTGTGAGTGGAGATGTGCCAGATGTGTTTCCCCGGAAGGAGAAAAACATGGCCTACATCCTTCTGAACTATCTGTGCAGTTTCAGTACATGGACATTGAGGGGTGTATCTGAGCTATGGAAGGCCTGGGAAGTGTGTGAGAGAGACTTTCTCTGACGTGACAGGCGAGACCACAGGCCATCTGCTTCATGGCTTACTGCAGGATTAAATATATTGTGTGTCGTGTGCGTGTGTGTGTGAGGTTGGGGGTTGGGGAGGTGAAGACATAAACCTTTAACCCCCCAACCTCACTGCCCCTTTTTTCCAGACCCCTCTGTGTCTCTGTTCAGGTCCAAATATAAATAATTAAAACCATCTGCTTGAGCGCTGAGCTGTGCCACTGAATCCTGCCCACAAAACAATTATTACGACACTCACACACTTATATACATAGCATCATTGCCATGGCCCCCTTCCCTGATTTAAGGGATGGGGGGGGTGTTTGCTATACAGCTGTTTGTGTGCTGTAGAGGTTATCTCCCAGAAAGTCCAGTGTGTAGCCCCTTGCAATGACAGTAGCTGAACTAGGTCACTGCCTATCTGGGTTAATGTTGCTAATTTGCTCACGTGGCTGTGTTGGCGTGTCTAAGAGGAACAGCGATAGAGGGTTTAGAAAAACCATTAATTACTCATCAGTTCTTGGTAAAGAAAATGTGTATATGTCAGGGTTGTATTGATTTAAAATAACATGATTGTGATAATGGAGTGGTGTGTGTATATGTGTGATATAAATAAAAGTTGAAATGTGACTCCACATATTGATTTAATCCAGTGTTTGTTGATGCATTGCTGATGTTATGTTTTGATGCTGTGTTTACAGAGGGTGATGAAACGGGTATCATGGATGGCCTTTTGGAGGCGCTGCAGTCTGGCGCTGCTTTCAGGAGAAAGAGAGGGCCACGCCAAGCAGGTACTCATTCACAAGCAGACCAGTAAATGTTCACAAAACATGCAGATGTTTCAAAGCATCTTGTATTACTTGATTTACAGACTTCTGTTTCCTTTCACACACCATCTATACTATCCAGAAACATGTGTAGCATATGAGACTCATTTTTTCCATCTCCCTCTTCCTCTCTGTCTCTATGTTTCTGTCAACACACAACAGATTTGTGTCCCCCTGTTTCTGTTCCATCTGCCGCATGGCTCAGAGACTGTGGTTTTGGAAGTATGCTTTGGTCATGGTTACGGGGGGCAAAGGCAAGTCCACCAATGATTGGCATAACAACAAGAGAAGAGGGTGCTAAGGGTGCATGTGGGCAGCAGGATACTTAGGAGACAGACAACTGGTGAGGGTGTGGTTGTGGAATTGGAAAAGAGGAATATGAATGTAGAGCTGAGGAGGATAAACCAGAGTGTGGGTAGAAAGTTTAAGGAAGTGGGATCAGTGAGTGGGCAACATATTTTAACAACTGGCTAAAGTATGAAGAAAATATGAATTGTTAAAGTCCCCTGCCACACATAAAGTGTTTTGCTTATTGTTACTTCACTTGGATCCTTGACCTTTACTTTGTAGAATGATGATTGTACATGTATCAGTTTGACACTATAAGGCTGTTTTCAGATTAATCTGCTAAAGAGGAAACATTTGTGTTCACCTTAAATCTGAGTTTAAATAGCCCCATATTGAATTTACACTAGTGTGATGTGAAAACTTAAAACCTCCAGCGCACATACACTGAGAATGGAAGTAGTAGATGCGTTTCTCATGGTTTTATGGCAGGTTTTGAAACCCTAGCTCATTGTTAACATGTACACAAAATATCATTATCATAAAATCTACACTATCTAAATCAGTTTCTCCATTTCATCAAACACTGTTCCCGTCATTACTGTGCCAGACAGAAGTCCTTGTCCTATATGTGAGGACATACTCCTGAGCATAACTCCAGCCTGTATTGATTCATTCAGGTCATGTTATTCACTCTAAGCTCATAGAGGCAGGCCAGTAATCTGGTTAGCTACTTACTCCGCTGTCTGTCCCACTGCCCAATCCAGTTACATTCACTTATTGGAGAAAAGAGTATTTTTCTCTTACTTTTATTTTCTGTTTTTAAACTTGTACATGTAGGACATTATGGGGACAATGAAATGGTAAATGAAAACGAGGCACTGTGAGCTGTTAGGATAGTAACTTTGTAACATGACACCTGGTAGTAGGGAACTTGTGTGTAACCATGTGAGTGGGAAAGTGTCCAGTGCCCATTAACTGAGAGAGAGCCTCTGTGTGTGTGTGTGTGTGTGTGTGCACGTTTGCGCGCATGCTTACATGCACTCATGTGTGGGTTGAGTATTCACACATAACAGAGGCCCGGGAAGAGTGTGTGCAACCCAATACCTCTCTCAATAGAAGCCAGATGTGAAGCGGCGCTCCAGAGTGGAATTGCTTAGAGCACTCTGCAGCATTCTTTATTTTTATCTTTTCTTTCTCTCTCGTTTTTTCTCTCTGTCTTACTTTTCTTTCTTTCTTTCTTTTATCTCTCTCTTTCTTTCTGTCTTTAAGTCAATCACTAAACTAATTTACATAGCCTTTTAGCTCTAATTATGCATAGCAATTAAACAGGGTTCTGACAAGTGGTCCTCAGTGGTCCACTAAGTCACACTGAGAAAATATGTGCAGTAAACTCTCTTTAATCACAAATGGCTCAGGCTCATCACCACTGAACGGACTGTGACAAGATTGAAAGGAGGAAATTGAGAGAGAAGCGACAAAAGGAGCACTGTATGAGGAAAAAAGGGGCCCACTTAAGGGGCTCAGTCAGTCACCCATAATACTGTTTGGCCACCTCACATTCATAACAGGAAATACCTTAACATGCGCGTTAGAGAGAGAGAGAGAGAGAGAGAGAGAAACTCTTGTCTGTGGTAGGAAAGAAAATGAAAATATAGGAGGCTGTATGTATCACATCTCTGCTCACTGCCTCCTTTCTGTCTCCTCTTTTCCTCCTCGTCTTGTCATTTTGGTTTTCCTTTGCCAAAGTTCAGGGTTTTCTGTGGCTGATGTGGAGGGTGTGAAGCCTCGCTGTGGATTTGTTCACTTATGTTTTGAGACTGCTCCTTTCTAGTTAGTTACTTTGTTTCTTAGCCCCGGGAAGAGCCTTAAGTCCTTCAGCTACACTATAGGAGTGTGTCTGTGTGTGTTGGTTGAGTCAGAGGTCTTAATTTAGTGGAGCTGAAGTAGGGGGAGGCACATCCTGACTTTGGCTCAACTGATACATATCTGGCACCACTGGCTCCACAGGCAGCCTGTATCAGCAGGCTAAAACACTATCCAGGTCATGTACGCATGTATTTTTAGTGCTTGCTCCATAATGTGTAATACGACGGGTCAAAAATGTGACTGAGTCATGGAAGGATTTCTGTCAAAATAGATGCATTTGAACAACATGCCACTAGCCCTGAGGCCAGTTGAATCAGTTTCTCATCTTACTCATTTAAATTTTTTGTCCATCCGTGTTTAGTGCTATTACCTGTCCGATGTCACGTAATGTTCATCCTCTGATCTATAATTAAGCAAAATTGCATTGAAACCATACATTAAAACTGGAGTTTCATCCGCCTGATATCCTAACACAGTCACCTTGATATATTAAAAAACAGTGCTTAGGCTAATTACGTCCGCATTTAAGGAAACTGGAGTATTAATCGGGAATAACGTTGGCGTCAAGATGCCTGTTTTCACTTCAGAAATGATAATTCATCTGGAGTATGAATGTTAAGTATAATGAAGCATTACATAAGATTTCCCCCAATTGAGAAAAAGTATGTACTCACCCTAATTACGATTGTGGTTAAGTTCTTTAAGCATGTTCTGGTTATTAGTATAGTAATTATAATAAATAATGAAGAAGATTATCCATTAATGTGGTGGATCTGTCTTGCTGCTCTATCAAATATCTCTTAACTCTGGGTTAGTTAAACATTTAGTATGTTCAGGGAGATTGGTTATTTTTTAATAGAATGCTAATGTGTGCATCAAGCTACTGAAGCATGACAAAGCCCAGACATTGTTTCATCAGAGGGCATCTCACATTACTGTCTGTATTAACATATGTAATGTCTCAAGAGTTAGAATTCAGCTTGTTCATTTGCTCACACTAAAAGATTGTCGTGGGAATGATCAAGCATTTCTGATTACAATCAGCATGTCCCAGATGTGGTCAGAAGCACAGGAGGGCAGGTAAATAAGGACACACCATTCCTCTCACAGCAAAGTGGTAGGTGAAAACTCACTTGGCCGAAGTTGGGCAGCGGTGGCTCAGGATGTGAGCGTGTCATCCACTGAGCAAACACAGATGTGTACATTAGGTTCCATGATAAATTGACATTGACATTTTAAGTCTTTCCATGGCTTTAAGACACCTTCATAATGTGGCCTGTTTTAGCAACAGTGTATATCCATAGATAATACAACACAAAATTGACACATGACACACATCACAGGTACAGACCTTTAAAACTCTTGTTAGCAAAGTCTGAGTAAATCTCATTAACACTGTTTATTTTACATACATTTATGTAAAATAAATAAATTATGGTACATGTGGACTATATTGATTTCTTATCCAAAATGTCCATGACTACCTGAATAGTAAAATTATTAGCTAATAATAGTCCCTTTTTAACATTTTATCAGAGCTGTTGGGCTAGGCTGTGGGACATCAGACAGTGAACAAAGACAGGCTGAAAAATAACACAAACTGCTACCAACTTTCTGTGACCACCTTAAGTTATGACTTGGAATAACAGTCAATATATTATGGTCTCCATTACGTGAAGTGTGCCCCTCCTTTCCCCTCCTCTTTCTTTATTCCCCTCACAGCTGGTGACTGCAAACGTCACCAACTTGGTGTTAAAGGACTACTGAGGGCCCATTGAGTGTGTTGCCATGCTCATTGTGTCACAGCAGTATCACTGAATGGAAGGCCACGAGGCTTCAGAGGCTATACCCCATCACCTTTGACCTGTACCTCAGCTCGCGTATCCTCAGCTGTTTACCCTCTGTCTGTCCCCCCCCCCTTTACACACATACAAACAAAACGCAACCACCAGATGCTTGCATGCCAATACAAAGACACACATTGGTGTTTGCGTACCAATACATACACCTAAAAAAGGAATGCTAGGTTCCAGAGGACAGACAGCCTTATATCCTTTCAAGCACTATCACACTCTGGCTCTCTACTTTAGATAGTTATGGTCTGTTTTGTATGAATACAGTCTTGTCAGCTTGGCAACATTAGGCTAATTTGTGTGTGTACGTGTTTAAAACAATTTAAGGGCACTCGTGTGTAGAGGAATGACGTTTCTAAACACTCACTATAGGACCCATCTGCTGGGTCATGACCCTTTCCAGAGCAACCCATCACAGTAGCAACAAGTTGACAAAGAACCAGTCACAACAGAAAGACTGAGATAAAGGGGATAGCAACAATAGAGGCACACGCTGGCTCTGCAGAGGCTCTGCTCATACAAAAGAACAAGACAACCCCTACAAAGATCCTGCTTTCACAGATGTTCTCACAGGAGAGATAATTCAGACCAATAGGAGAGCATTGATCAATCAAGCCATTGCTGATGCAGTGGTGATGTCACATGCATACTTAACACCCACTGAAACAATACAGACCAGAAAGCCACAGATGTGCACCAGTTGAGCTTGCGCATCAATACTAACCCACAGACACAAGCCAGTAGTGGTGCTAGATGACGTTACTCTTTCCCACAGTCCTCTAGTGTAGAGCAGGTGTGATACGCAGTGTGGCCTGAGGAGGGTGATATAAGTCCCTGCTAAGTTGGAGACACTGATGTAGGTTCAGCCTGCATCTGCAAATATTCCATCGTGCTAGTCGTGGCACTGTTACCATGTTGTCATGTGGCTGTGGCTTTGCTGCAGCTGCTCTACTGACAATAAACCAAGAGCATAAAGATGGCTTCTTCCTTCCTTACACCATGCAGAT